CTAGGGCCAGGGGTGTCCTTGGGGTCAGGGCTGTCCTTGGGGTCGGGGGTGTCCCTGGGGCTGGGGGTGTCCCTGGTGCCAGAGCCCACCAGTGGGCCGCGGTGCCCGCCCCCCACCTGCAGGCCCCTGCACGCCAAGGCTGAGCAGCACCTTATGTGTGAGGAGCACGAGGACGAGCGGATCAACATCTACTGCCTGCGCTGCGAGGCACCCACCTGCTCCCTCTGCAAGGTCTTCGGGGCCCACAAGGACTGCGAGGTTGCGCCGCTCCCTGCTGTCTACCAGCGCCAGAAGGTGCATGGCCCTAGAGGGAAGAAGGTGGGGGGGATCTGGGGGCTTCCCACCCAGCTGGCCCTCACTCACGCCTGTTTCCTCCCCTCCCAGAGCGAGCTCAGTGATGGCATTGCCATGCTGGTGGCAGGGAACGACCGCATCCAGGCCATCATCACCCAGATGGAGGAGATCTGCCACACCATCGAGGTGGGGCTGGGAGTGTCCCAGGGTGCCACACGCAGCCCTGGGGCCACATCCCCGTGGTGGGGACACAGCAGGGCAGGGGTGTCCCTGACCCCTGGGTTCCTGCAGGAGAACGGCCGGCGGCAGAAGCAGCAGCTGGGGCTGCGTTTTGACGCCCTGTGCAGCATCCTGGAGGAGCGGAAGAAGGAGCTGCTGCAGAGCATCGCACAGGAGCAGGAGGCCAAGGTGCAGCTTGTGAGGGGCCTCATCCGGCAGTACGGAGACCACCTGGAGGCCTCCTCCAAGCTGGTGGAGTCGGCCATCCAGGCCATGGAAGAGCCCCAGATGGCTGTGTACCTGCAGGTCTGTTTGGGGTGCAGGGGTCAGGGCCCTCCAGGGAGTCTGGGTTTCCACAGGGGTGTGTGGTGGGGCCACAGGCTCCTCTGTGGCCTGGGGCTGCCCCACAGGGCTTGGGGGTAGAGGGATGGTTCCTCTAAAGGATCTGGGGCTGCCCGTTAGGTGTGCAGGGGTAGGGCTGTGGTGGGGGATGTCTGGCTCCTGGGATCCCAGGTCCCATTGCTCCAGGGACACACTGACCCCACTTCCTGCTTCCCTCCACAGCACTCCAAGGAGCTCCTGAAAAAGTGAGTGGGAGTAAGGGGGAGAGGGTTTGGGTGTGGGTAGCAGGTTGGGATGGGGGAGCAGAGGGCTGGGGTGTGGGTGTAGTGGCAAGGTGGGAAGAAGAGGGGTGGGGGTGTAAGTAGGTTCAGGTATGCCCACAACTCCCACGCTCTGCCTTCCCACAGGATCACAGACATGTCCAAGGTGTCCATGAGCAGCCGCCCAGAGCCAGGCTACGAGAACATGGACCACTTCTCTGTCAACGTGGACTATGTGGCTGAGATGCTGAGGACCATCGAGTTCCAGACAGGTGCTGGCGCAGGGACAAGTGCTGCCATGCCCTGGGGCAGGAGTATGGGACAAGCAGAGTCCCTCACCACCTCATGCCCTGCATGGGGACACATCTCCTTGTGCACAGGAATGGTGATGTGTGGCCTCTCTGCCACTGCCAAGGGACCCTGTGGAGTCAGAGTTGCCCTTTGTCCCCTCTGGCTTGTGGGCTACTGCATTCTGTCCCCCTGGTAGGATGTCCCCAGGCTGCCCCGACTGACCTGTCGTCATCTCTACAGAGCCACTGGGTGATGACGAGGCAGATGGACCTGGGGACAGCAGTGAGGCAGTGGGGGATGAGGACCAGCTGGACAGTCTGGAGGTGCCTGAAGCTGTGGAGGGTGAGTGCCCACCGTGCCGTGCCATGCTGTGCCATGCTGTGCCGTGCCATGCCATGCTGTGCTGTGCTGTGCTGTGCCGTGCCATGCTGTGCTGTGCCATGCTGTGCCGTGCTGTGCCGTGCCATGCTGTGCCATGCTGTGCTGTGGCCAGTGCTGTGTCTGTGTGGCTGCGCTGTTGCCTGTGTCCTGCAGCGCTCCAGGGTGTCCCTGGCTGCAGCATGTCACTTGTTTCCCTCTGCAGACT